TCCCCTAATAAATTTACTCTTATTTGAAAACATTCAAATAAAGACAAGAAGAAAAACACACATTCCAAGTTCTCATTGCATCTATCATAAAAATGTATGAGAGCTGTATGCTCCAGCTGAATCAGCAGGGGCCAAATAAAACCTATTAAAAAAACACATTTCTGTGAATGTGTGTTCTTTTGCTTAAAAATATGGGAGGCAGAGAGAAATCCCCTAGTATTCATCACTTTCCCCCTCCATTTTCCATCTGATGTAATTTGCAGCACTGCAAGCAAGTTACTGCTCCAACACTATGGTGTAACTAAGTTTATTGGTTGTTATTATTACATACACTGGAGGACAGTAGAAGTTTTATTGTGGATTTCCAGCCATCAGTTTCTCCAGTTTGTTTCATAATTAGCTACTTCAGGGATATAAAAAGGCCATTAAGGAACAAGAGTGTGTACATTTTTGCTCCAAATACAATGGATTGATCCTTGATCCCATTGTTTTTCTCCATGGCCCCTGAGTTTCACAGTCGCTTCTGACTTTTCTCCTTGCATATAAGGGATGAATCACTGGCCACTAACATTGTGTTCTTCCACTCAGGACATTGGGAGAATTCCAGGAAGAATAGCCACAGGCAGGTGAAAACTTGCTGGCTACTTAGCTAGTCTGCAGGACCACAAGCAATGCTAGCTATAGAGGAAAAGGCACTTTACAACTCGTGGAAATTGCACAAACTGTTAAAAAGGAAGTGAGGGAGGCCTGGGGGGATGTGCAGCAGGGACAAAGCCCATTACAGATCCACTTCAGATTGGTGTAGGCTCCTATCAAAAACTGTTTGTGGCCTTTCATGCACCACATAATTGGCCACTGATGAGGCCAACATTGAGACCTAGAGCCAACAGTGTATATGTTGGGGGTGACTGAGGTGTGGACTGCAACTCCCATCATACCTAACTGCTGGCCAGGTTGGCTGGGGCTGATGGGACCAGGTTAGCCAGCCCTGGTGCATATAGTTTTTGTCCTAGATTTTTTTGTCCTGCCCATATCAAATCTATGTCTTACTTTGCATTATGTTGATAGCTTTTTGTTACCAATGACAAGGGCATGGCTGGGGTGACTAACCTGTGGCCCTCCAGATGTTGCCAAGGTCCTACTCCCATCAGTCTCAGGTAGCTTAGCCAATAGCGAAGGACAATATAAGTTCAGCAACATCTAGAGCAGCAGTTCTCAACCTGTGGATCCCCAGATATTGTTGGACTACAACTCCCATCATCCCTGAGCTCTGGCCTTGCTAGCTAGGGGTGATGGGAGTTGTAGTTCAATAACATCTGTGGACCCACAGGTTGAGAAAGGCTGATCTAGAGGGTCATATGTTGTCTGCCTCTGCAAGAAAAGGTAATAGCAATAGATTGGGAATCTAGATTAAGGAGATGAGCAAAGATTAATGTTGCCTCCAGAGTTCCTTGCATGATGGTGTATCAAAAACCTTCCAAATTCAAAACAACTTCCATTCCATTATTCAGTCAAATGTATACATTTGTGCAATTTGTAAAATTCAAATGAATGTGCACACGCCACTTTTTCTGTTTGGAGAATTGCCATTCCTTTCTCAGTGATGCCTAAGAAGATAAATGGATGCTTTCTGTGTATTTTACAGATCTTACATAATCAGTAGCAGTAACAAAGCTAAGATCTGTGATTACACCCAAGCAGTATTGACTTGGGTGTTTTATTTGCCCTTGCAGGGAGCTTGGAATTGTCACCAATAAGTCAGAGCTGAGCTGGGGTGGGGGAGAGACACACTGAAAGAAGAAGACATGTGCTCAATCCCAGCCCCGCCCCCCCCCAATGTCTTTGACACAGAGCATTTAAAGATATACTTAAATCCAGGGACAGGGAAAATACAGTGGTACCTTGGGTTACAGACGCTTCAGGTTACATACGCTTCAGGTTACAGACTCTGCTAACCCAGAAATAGTGCTTCAGGTTAAGAACTTTGCTTCAGGATGAGAACAGAAATTGTGCAGCGGTGGTGCGGCAGCAGTGGGAGGCCCCATTAGCTAAAGTGGTACGTCAGGTTAAGAACAGTTTCAGGTTAAGAACGGACCTCCAGAACGAATTAAGTTCTTAACCTGAGGTACCACTGTATTATCAAACTGGTTGGAGGAGATTGAAGAAGCCTCTTCAATATAAGAATGTAATACGGCAAGTAATTTCTCACATCCAACATTGCAGAAATCCCTGTATGTGTCTTTCTGCATTAGGATTAAGGGAACTGATCTCTGTTTATGAACGAATGGAGGCAGCTCCAAAAATTGCCCGGGATTTATATCATGTAGCAAACGCCAGTATACATGGCTTCCTTCGAAACTCAGTCTCCTACCTATTCTTTCGTGTCTTAACAATAAAGGAGTCTATATCTGCACAGAGGAAGGGGTGAAAAAGCTTGCTTCAGGAAAGCGCTATGTAAATCAGACGAGAAAGCAGTCAGCACATACGAAACAATCTGTGATGTCAAATGGCCCTTTCCCCCGTAACATAATTTCAAGAATTAAAACAGTACAAGATCTGCCTCCCCTTGGATAGGAAAATGGGTCAAAGAATACACAGTATTTTGTTCCTTTTCTCTGCTTCCAGAAGGAGAAATAAGGGAGATAAATCTACATAATGCTGAGCTGAATCTCTTTAATTCCAGTCAGCTTTTATCATTCAATCAGAGGCTGCATGTGGAAAAATTCATGCTAATTCCCCCTAGCAACAGCCTCGGCCTATCAGGACGCTCCATGCACCATGCAGCTGCCAGCCAGCCAGCAAGAATAACTCTAAGTAGGTCAGGCCTGTATTTCTAAAAATGCCACGGTCTAGTAACCCCACTGTCCCGTCTGTCAGCCCTGCCCCATAATAACCTCAATTGCTTGGCGACACAATGACATACTACGCTGTTAGAGCGCAATCAAATCAGGCTGCATTATTCTGCTGCAAGCATGGCTACTGGATGGAGGACCCTTTGAAGGGCAGCATTAATCAGGCAGCCATTCACGTCCGCTAACGTTTTCACTCTGGAGATGGGTCCTGCATTAATGACCAGCTGTTTGAACTTACACACACGCAAGCCAAATGAAATCCTTCCAGCCTGTTTGGTGCACAGAACAGCACTATTCTGGGTCCAGGCATGGTATACACGTTGCCCAAATCCAAAATGCGGGGCTGGGAGAATGACGGCTTTTGTAAACTTCCAAGTAATTAAAGGATGTTTAAACGGCACTACATGCAGCAACAAAAGAGCTATTGGCTTCATGTTAACACACAGCCCTGTCCTCCGAACAAAATGCACATTTTTTCCCAGCCGAAAATATAACATGTTTGCACAATGCAGTCTATTTTGGGCATATTATTAAGGCGAGCTAAATAAACAAGAGCTGAACTGAGACTGACTTCTGCAGGGAATCTGGGAAACCAGAAGAGGCTCCGAGCAATTTGGGCAGCGCAGAACAGGAGGGGAGAAACACAAACCGCACGTTGCAAAGGCTTGCAGATAAAAGCCAGGAAAGTGCTGCGTAAAAGGCGTCTGCAAAAGGCCAATCACGGACGAGGCACCTCCCATGTCCCCCTCACTGCTTGCATGCGGCAGGACTGCAAATGCATACCCAAAGCAGTCAGGCTCAGCTCTCGAAATGTTCCCGAAGAAGCTCTCCCCCCCCCCCCCCAGGATCTGCTTTGGATTTTAAAAATGCTGTACCAAATTTGACACATTTGAAAGAAAACACACCCTTTGAAATAGAAAAGGCTGATTAAAAGCCATCTCACATTACTTGTGAAGCATATTTGAAAAGCCCAGCAAAACTCAAATCTACAGTAATGGTGCGCTTTCTCTGCCGTAGCTTTTCAGTGAAAGCATCACACATCTGCATTTGTTGTTTTCTCCTTTTTGGCAACTGTGGTGCAATCATGTCAGCCAGCTGCGTGTGTTAGATGAAGCCTGCATAAAAAGCAAAGGCATTTGTTACGGGCAACCAGTGTGTTTTTTAAAAGGTTCGCACTCTATACTCTGCAAATCTCTCCCCACAGCCTGCTTCTGCAGAAAACTTGACAACTGAGCCCTCTACTATGCAGAACTCAGCAAGACCCACAACATGTGATCCCATCCATATTTGATTTATGAACACAGCGCATTCATTAATCCATCTGCCCTTGTTTGAACCAGGGCTGATAACTAGGTTGTGACTATCTTCCTCACTTTGTGGCATGCATCACAGTTATTCTTGGAAAGATATGGTCGCTGACGTAACCATGAACTGCTAATTACAAGCTGCTGACATTTTGCTGGTCTGTGCAGCTTTGTACGATTTACACAAGTCCCTCCCTCCCTCCCTCTCTTCCGCTTTCCACCCCCATCTCTCTCCGTTTAAAATGTCTGAGCTGGAACCACAATATCTGAGGAAGAGGTGTAGCTCCCCTGCAGAGCAAAAGGTATTTTCCTAAGCCAGATTTTCCCCCTTTAAAACAAACAGAAAACTACATTTCTCCAACAGCTGGCTAAGATATTCCTGAGCAAACAGTACACTCATCAGCAAAAAAAATCCTGCAAGGTATAGACAGGAGCCTTAGAGAACGACTACTGAAAAACTCCTTTGGATACACATGAAGAAAAATTATGGTCTCTGGATTTAAACACCCACACATACACAAAGTAGGCAGCTGCTGAAGAGACCGCCAAGCTTCTCCTATCTGTCTGCAGCATTTGTTTCCTTTCACTTCATTTGGCCCATTACACAGATATGACCACCTTCAGTTATTATTCAGAAGCAGTTAGCATATTAAGTATATTATAGCAAGTTCAGCTGTTCTTAAAAACATCAACAACACTGTTCTTACTTCACTGCCCTCCACCCCAGCAAAACAAGAAATAGGACTTGCCAGTGAGCATTTCATATCAAATCTTTGCTAAAATTGAGCGCTGTGCTTTTTCAGTGGGACTCCGGAGTCCCCCTCCCCAGCTTTATTTTGTTTTGTTTTTTAATTACAGGCTGACTTTGAAATGCATTAAAAATGTAAATACGTTGCCGATTTTCATTTCGGCTGCACATTGAGCCATCTGAAAATGAGGAGTTGCCAGCTGGGCTTCCAAAGTCATCTGGGATAATTTATTTTGATTAGACTGACCACACATCTATTTACAGTATAGAATTTTTTCACTAGACTGAGTACAGCTGTGTTTATAAAGATTGTAAAGATGAAGCAAACAAAAAATCCCACTGTTCTTCCCTGTAACATATAGAAGATTCAAGGCTTCAAGGTGTTAAAGGGAAGAGGGAGAGAGGGAGAGAAAGAGAGAATTTCCAGAATCTCGCCTCCAAATATGTCTTTTTCAAACAAGCTGACTGCTTATTGCCGAAAAGAACACGTATAAAGGAGGTAGTTGAAAATATGCACCATAACCAAGCCTGACCCAGCAACCTGAAAGGCTTCCTATGCATTCTCAAGTCAGAAAGCTGCCATTCCCTCAATGCACATATGTACAAACACAGACACACATACAACATACACTGCACACTTCTCCTTTCCCCCACAAGGTGCTCATGTCTTTTCAGCCACCTACACCTTTTGTTTCCTCCGTAACCGCATTAGGGAGTGTTCAGACTACAATTTAGAGTCCCTCTATCCAGATATGGGTTCTGTAAATTATGCCATCATCATCATCATTGCAGAAATGAGCAGACACGATCAAACGGCATGCCATCTCCTCTTCCTCCTTTTCATTTGCTGGCTTGCTCCCTTCCACTCTTTTCCTCCCATGGCTATGCTCTGACAGGCTCACGTATCAGATACTTTATTTATCCATCTCCAGCACAGCTCCTCTGAGGTGAAGCACGGCATCGCCATGGCTTTCCCCATAATAATCCCTTCGAACAGCAGTGCCTGGGATTCTTCTTCTTGATGCCCTTGCCATACGTACAGGATCGCTGCCGATGCCCTTGCTGTAAACACCAGATTACCTGGCATCGTATCTCTTTGACTCACATTTTTCACCCTTTAGGGTGGGGTGGGGGGGAATAAAAACCCAGAATCACACATTTCTTCTCTTCCAGCAGGAACAGAATGCACTGCCCAGATTTTCCTCGCATCTTGCCGAGAATGTGCCGACAAGAGATTCTCCCGTAGTGCAAGCCAGGTTGAAACGCAGGAAGGCAGGCAGGCAGGAGCAAGCCCAACAGCAGCAGCCGCAGCAACAGCAGCAATAGCAGCCACCCAGGTAAATGGGGGGAGCAGGATATGCCGAAAGTGGTACAGCGTCATCGCTCTGAGAGAAGACGAAATTGCTCCTTCCAAACAGCACGGCTCGAATCCTGCAGGAAGTAAAGAGCAGGAGTTCCCCCCCGCAACGCAATCCCACCCAGCCCCAAAATGGAGAGAGTTAAAATCATCGTTTAAAAATAAAAATAAAAAATCAAGCCACTAAAATAACACACAACTTTATTTCTGCCGTTTAGGATTTGGATATCTGCGCTGCTGAATATTACTGCCCAGGAGTGCAGAGTCACGAGAGCTCTCTTTCCCCAAACTGCAAAAAGCCGAGCATCGCGTGAGGAGACACATGATGCGCTGGCAGACGGACGCTGATGTGGCCAAGTAGTTCAGGGAAACAAGAGCAACATCGGCAAATAATCGTCTTGAGCCAACAAACGCTGCTCTCAGGTAGCCGCGGTGCAGTTTCCTTTCGGAAAATACAATCTGTGTACATACGCTTCTGCACACAGTATCGTGTCTGCGCCTATGTGCGTGCATGCTACTGTGAAGAGACGCCGAGGATGCTGTTCCACAGACACTAGCTGGATGGCAGCAATATTACTTCTTGGCTGCGTTATTCCAAGCTGATTCCACTTAAGTGAATTCCTGAAAAGCATGCTCCATGTCTCTGTAGCCTGGACTGGTGGGGGGAGGGGGAGAGATCCCCAATGGCTTTATCTCTCCCAGCAATCTCTATTTGAAACTGCATCCTGAATAATTTATTTCTGGCAAATAATATGTTCACCTAGGATGTTCCCTTTCCCCTGTTACCGTCACATGCCGGATTCATTATGCAGGTAAAGCGTGTCCTGCTGCAGTCAGGGAAAGAGAAGGCGCGTTAATCATTTTCCCCAAGTGCTGGGTTTACCAGAGACACAAACAATCTGGGCCAAGATGCTTCTGCTTTATTGTGCATAAAGTAGGTTTTGCTCACATGTGACTGCCAAACAGAAAATATGTTTGCTGGTGTTATACGGTGTGTGTGTGTGTGTGTGTGTGTGTGTGTGTGTGTGTGTATCTGCAGAAATATGAGAGCACACACGGTTGAGAGGGAAAGAACAACAGAGTGTGCATATTTGTGTGTGTGTGTGTGTGATAGTTATAAATATAATTTTGAAGGCAAAACAGGAAGAAAATCACCCTTACAGTTTTGTTCCTGCACGCATGGCATGTCACTGTATTTCCTTAATTAATGCAGTTAATAAACACTGTACGTTCCTTAAACGGCCAGTTAAACCCCTGAGAATTCTCTCTATGGCTTGCTCTCAAGTCTCCAATAGGTTAATGGTCCCCCTCTGTGTTCCCTCTTGCCTGCAGATGTCTGGTAATGAGGGAATAGTCAGCTGGCCAAAAAGGGGTGGGGAGACCTGTAGGCATCACTATCATCAGCAGTGGCGTAGCGTGGGGGGTGCAGGGGGGGCCGGCCGCACCGGGCGCAACATCTGGGGTTAGGGCAAATCCACAGGTTAGGGGGCGCAAATCCACGGGTTAGGGGGCGCAAATCCACGGGTTAGGGGGCGCAAATTACTTGCCTTGCCCCGGGTGCTGACAACCCACGCTACGCCACTGATCATCAGACAAACCGATAACAGTTCTGAGACTTGTGTTGCTCCAATACTGGTGCAAAATGACAGAATAGGAGGCGATATGTCTTCCATGCCCTTTGCTTGCTTATCTGTGGCAATGCCCTTGCACTGCTACTTCTATATTTCCCTGGAATCTAACTGGAAGCTGTGTTTGGATGAGGCAATGGATTCCTAAGGTGGGTGGCTGCATTGTACAGTAGCCTGGTACAAGTTCTGGCATTTGTATGATGCCAGTCAAACGTAGATTGACGTATTAGCAACGTACCCGTCACTTGGGATAAGGAAAAGAGGTGAGCAAAGCACAGAGAGAAAACTACTCCGGTAAAAAGCAGGTGGAAAACGGGGTGGGGAGGAAAGCAGCCCCAAACAGTGAATGCTTCTTTTCATTGGTTCTCAGGTGAAAGAGGATGCTCACTGGGCCAGTCCTGGGGGGCCCAAAGGACCACTCAGCAGATACAAGCATGAACCAAATGCAAAACCATTTTGCACACCACAGGCCTTGGACACAGGGAAAAGAAGAAAAGAGTTCCAAAAGTTGATTTGCTATGGAGATCCCACACATTGCATACTGTTGATATAAATTGTCTATATAAATAGACACAGAAAAATATATATGCTATAATACACAAAGAGGCCTAGAGAACACTGGCTTGTCTAATGCTGGTGCTTGTGATGGTTTGAAGTGGCGCTGGGAATCATGGCTTTGGCAATTTTGATACATCAGCCCAGTCTGTCTTAAGAAATCAGTGTTGTTTTATGTATTAAGTTGCAGGTTGTCTTGCTCTTTTTTTTTAAAATTGCACCCATACCGAATTTCAGTAATCTGTAAATGCATTTAAGTGTAATTGATCAACCAGTTGAAAGGTGATCAACTTTCACAGAGTATCAGATAAGTGTCAGTGTACATCCCAACACTCTTAACATTCCAATTTTTACATGCCTGTTAAATCAACACCTGTAATCTATATAATCGCTATCTCTATATGTGAAATCAGAACCAGCTTTGGAGACTCTCTTGCGTCATCAACTTTTGCATGAGTAAGGTAACAAATTCCAGCACACAGTAAAGTAGAAATTCAGAGAAGCAATGGCTATTCCCAATTATTTCCCAAATCAAATAAATGAAACAAAGGGACAAGGAGGTAAAAAACAGACTGCTATTTTAAAACATCAGTAGCCTTTGGCTAGTTGACTGAAATGAGTCCTCAATGGCTAAGCCAATGGCACTATTAAAAAAAGATGTGATGGAATGCTCATGAACACTCCAAATTCTCAGAAGTTTTTAAAAGACATCTCAGCATACAAGGCCTAAGGAGAGATGGGACTGGGTGCCAATGGTGAGAATTGGTACAAGCAGAGAAGTGTTTAGGCGGCACTATTAAAGTATTGGTCAACTGTTATGACTTTACGAGAAAAAACATCTCTCTCAACAAACTTACAGGAACTGTGCGGGAAATAATATTTTTGAACAGGCTGTGAACTTTGATATATTGACTTCAGAAAAAAAATAAATCTGAAGCATGTCACTAAGCCTGTCCTGATGGGAAAGAGTAGAGTCACTATTCAGCTCACGCTCCCTTGAAAAGTTCATGAAGCTCAGCACATCTAGCCCTTTCCAGTGAACCGTCTCCTTTCCCTGTAGACTCTAGAGAGAAGTCTGTGGTTACTTGAGGTTTTAACCCCAAACCAGACAGAACTCTTTATTTTTCACTCAACATGAAACCTCAAAGTGAAACCTAGGGGTGCGAAGCCTGTGGATTGAAACCAAAACAAACATTTGTCAACTCTTACATAAATAGAAACCCAAGAGTTGCACATAGCTCCAGCAATGACCCCAAGTTGGATGTTGGCCAATAAAGCAAAACAAACATCCCTAACTTTGGTGTGACTTGCCAAGGGCTATTTAGTGGCTTTAGGCTCATCTGAATGCCATCCCTTTGGTTGCACATCTCTTTGATTGCATAGTTTATTCTCCCTGCTTCTTTATCAATACACTTGCATCAGCAAAGGCCTCTCGACACAAGTTTGCTCAGGGTTGGATTCCAGAAATATGCACACCATCACAATTCCAAGGTCAAAGGAACAACAGTTCTCATGAGCCTCTGCAATGGATTACAAAATATGGTACACAGATCAAAGTACTGACACTAAACTTGTCTCTGTGATGGCGCCTGGACCAAGCTATTTCCTATCCTTCTTTTAGTGCTAGCGCTTCACAGTGCTCTTATGCACCACAGCTATGAACCACCGCTATTGGAAGCAAACCTTTCCCCCGGTTTGCTCGTTTTCTATGTAAAGTGAGAATCTATTGCCAGTGCCATTTTTCTAGAAAAAGAGGTGATGGAACTCACCATGAATGTCTCCCTTGTTCTCTTATAATGGCAATAGCTCCCACCTGAGAGCTGCTAGAACTGAGTTCTGGTGACGACCAGCTGGGGGAAGCTCTGTCTATTGCTATATTTTGGGTATGGTGGAACTCTCAACCATGTGACCCCCCTACAATCTGAACCGGTACAGTCCAAATAGGCTCATCGCCCATCTTCATGACAACAGGGCTTAACTGAGAATTTTTAGAACATATTTAAGATTCAGGGTGGGCTATTCGGTGCTGTTCATATGAATTTTGAATGAAAACCTGCTATTATGTCACCTACTCGCTTTTTAAACTGACATGCTCTGTGTATAATGTATAGCTACAGTAAGAATCATAATAGAGAGTTGACACAATCATGCAACGTGTGCGTGTGTGTGTGTCAAAGTGTGTGTGTGTGTGTGTGTGTGTGTGTGTGTGATGAATTTGCACACAGCAAAAGTATTATCTATGATCAGTAAACAGTCCCTTCATAAAAGGTCAATTTTTTTCGGTTTTTTAATTTGTATACCGCTCTGTACCTGTAGATCTTGGCGCAGTTCACAACATAAAACTACAATACTCTCCATTTGGTAACTTGTAGTATTACAAAGTATGCAGCCTTGGGTGCAATAATCTTACCTGTGTCATAAGAGGAAGAGCTGATATCAAGATAACAATGGAGAACAATCTTTGGACAAGAAAGCAAGCTAAGCTGCGTACTGCAAGCTTTTCAAAATATGAGCTCTGGAAGTGAATATTCTCTGTGCTTGTCATGCCAGGGAGGCAAGTTTAAACATGACAGGCATAACGGGACAGGAACAACATAGGGCAGGCACGGGGAACCACTGACCCACAGGCCGGATTAGGTCCAGTAAGTTCCCTAATTCGGCTTTTGAGACCGTTTCCCCCCAAACCATGACCAGTTGTCCCACACCTGACATAATATGTGTTGGCAGGTGAGGAGCAGATGAAGATGTGGCTGTAAAGCAGTCACTGGCAGATTAACGTGCACTGCTGGTTGCTCCTCACTGACAGCATTGCTCAGCTGACAGGAAACCCTTGCAAGTGCAGTTTTTTGTTCAAACCATGCCTGCAAAGTGACAAGCTTCCTCTGCAGGTTGGCCCTGCAGCTTTGCCCATTTGCGAAGGAAAAACTGTCCATTTGCTGGTGTGGCTTTAATCCAAACTGGCATTGATCAGCTGATCAGGACCCGCTCACTTGCCTAGCTAACTGAAAGGGGCTCCCCAGTTCACCTTAGGTGTATTTCTCAATGTAAGCTTAAAAGCTCCCCAAACAATCAAGAGCTACCAGCCATATCCTGAAACAAAGGTATATATAGGTTGTATAGTACAAACCTGAAAGAAAGATGTGGTGAAGAGGCCTCATAGGATACAGGTCTGAGCTTCACTGTGTGATGCGCCGTCTCTAGCTGCTTGCTGAGTTCTGACTTCTCCTGTAGGAAAATGTACAAACAAGAATTATATAGCCAGATGACTTGATGTTAGATGCACTGACTTTGCAGCTGAACCAGGTCATAGCCTAATGAAGTGTTAATATTTCATCTTGGGCAACAGTCCAATTTTCCTTTGTTAGTTTAGGACTGGGTCCTTATATGGAATACATTGCACAGGTTCAAATGCAAGAGCAATGTTTTTTCACACCTGCCAGACGCTTCACCTTAGACTTTGGGAGTACGGTCAGGAAGTCAGCCTTTCCACCCTTGTTACTGTAAACAAAGAGTGCTTGGCAGACATCCAAGTGTTACAAGTGGGAATGGTCTGAGCAGTAATAAACAAGAGCTGAATCCAGAAATAAAAGAAAGGCTAAACATCCAGATGACCATAAGCCAAAAATAAAAAATAAAAATCAATTTATTTGCAGCAAAAGCCACTTATTTTTGTGAGTTAAACATGTGAAAATTAGAAACGTTTTAGAAAGGATGCAGTAGTTGGTTTAGGAACACCCCATGGCTGTAGCATTATTGAAGCTAACCAAGTATGAACTTGGCCATGGATACGAAATCACTGGAAACCCCATATAAGTGTAGGATTTTTAAAAAACAAAACAACAACAACTTTGGGGCAGGATCCATGGATCCCATTGAACTGATCAATACATTATTGCTGGGTAACCGAACTCTGAAAAAGAACTGAAATGGAAGCAGCAGTTACGAGTGTGGGCCTTCCTTTTAATTCTGCAACCATCGCTAAGATGTTGTAAGATGCCTGTCCCTACAATTTTTACTGCTACTTCATGAGCCTTAGGTCCAGTGGTCTTAAAATAGCAGGTGGAGTAATAAAACTCTGTTTCAGCTGTAACACTTCAAGCAGCTGGTGAAAGCTCACCTGGCTGAATGTTCCTCAATTCAAACACATCCCCGCCTGCAATTTAAACAGGCAAAGCTTAGGGATGGGTGGGTCCATCCTGCTAATCAGCCAAGTGTCCATCTTATTAAGCTGGGGTAAAATGGTTGTCATCCATCTGTCTCAGGAGACAATGGAAGAGTGCGCCTTCAGGGGTGAAGTCAAACTGTTGGAGAGTTACATGCCACAAATACACACACAGGCAAACAGGCAGCTATTGGGTAGAAGAAGAGATGTGGAAGGCAATTACCATGGCTGGGCCAAGGAATCAAGACAACAAGGACACAGAGCTTAATTCTGGATGTAGGGAATGTATAGATAGGGGAGGTTCACAGATGCTCTTCATATGCCTTTGCCTTACTATGTATGTTGGAATTTTTACCAGTTCCATGAAGAGACCTCTGAATAGTGCTGCACATTGAACCCTACTTCATATCTACATTTTATATGACATTTACAAGGACACCACTGCACACTCATTAGCAGAGACTGGCCACACAAGATTCATATAACTATCCCATCAGTTTGGGAAGGGGACTCAAAAGGCCCTTAAAAGGCAGCGTACAATGTTCATTATAAATTTGGGATTGCCCAGAGGATTGTCCATAGCAAAAGCAGAAGCTTATAACTAGTCAGAAGTGAATTCGGACTGATGCACCAGAAGGACCCTTATCAGTCCCAGTGCGATAGCAGAACGAGGCCCTCTCACACAAAGGCAGGGTGGAGGACCTTTGGCCCTTTACATGTAGTTTGATTACAATTCCCATCATCCCTGACCATTGACCATGTTGGTTGTGGCTGACGTGAGTTGGAGTCCAACAACACCTGCAGGACTACCCTGAACTATAAGAGCAAACTGTGTTCAAAGCTTCCTGAGTACAGTGAAGAAAACCTAGCCCAATGAGAGAGACTAGGGATGTGAGACAAAGAATTCTAAGATTCATCACCAATTACAACTCCCAGGATTCGTGCTAGTTTGAATTTGGAGTGAATAAGTCTTGGTATAATTGTATTTATTTCATTCCTTCTGCCAGCAGCTCAACAGACTTTTTCCCTGTTGGCATATAATAAAAGTGAAATAGCAGTAGCTGTTGGTAAAATACTCTGACGTGGCAATGATTCTGGCATCCTACAACCATCCAAATGTTTAATCGGTTCAGTATTAACACAGAGGCATCTTAATAGAACAAATCTCATAAATAAGTTGGTCAGAATTTATCATAGCTTTGTATTTTTTTAAAAAATATACACCCTGACAATGAACAGCTGAGGAAGGCTTTAAAATCCCAATAGGATGCATGAACACAAATTAAATGACACATCTGCCAATAATCATCCAATTCTTAACAAAAAATGCAATTGTAGTCAGGGGAGTTCAACAAGAGGCAAGCAGTTTCTGCTTGCAAGACAAAGAAAATAAGAACACAACAACTGTATAAAAGAGATGAAACTCTTCCACAGTTGTATATGATTTCTGCCTGCATAACAATGGCTCTTTGTATGCCTGCAAATAGGCTTCCTTTTAATGAATGTATAACTGTGGCAGTTTTGAAGTATAAAACTTCTGTTTAATTCCACATCTGATCCTTTTCATGACAGTTGGCCAAGACTGCAAAAATAATTACCGAAAATACTGCACACGCTGGACCACACAGATGTCTGCTATAATAACTGGATTGTAATTTATTTCTAGCAGACAAGTGGTGTGAGGGCCTATTCACACATGTACAAAAGTGGGCAAAAGTAGAACGCAGGCTGGAGAGCAAGGTCAAAGGGATTAGACTTGAAGTCCAAATGGTGGATACGCATATAAAGTCCAGTGAACTCGGGACAACATTTTCACTCATTAGGGCAATGCCTGCATGTTATCTGGTCTATATAAATCAGGTTCCTGGATGGTGTGTATGTAAAAGGAGAAGACTGTAACAGCACCTTAGCAATTACCTGTCAAGGACTGGCTGGATGAGGAAGAGTGGTGGGCACCACCTACCTAAGAACTGCCCAGGGATGACACAGAGGAAAGAGACTTAGACCCAGAACAGCGGTGGTGGGACACAGAGGACCAGTCTGCAACAGGCCAGATAGGCCCAGATGAGGAGTCCTTCCTCACCACAGTTTACAGCTGTTTGGAGGAGTTCAGATTGAGGGGGCTAGAGAGGGAAGGAGGAGCGAGATGCCAGATCCAGCAACAACTTCAACTAAGAGAGACTAGCCTAGATGAACTCTGTTGTGTTTTTACTTTTTGAATAAAAGCTTATTGCACTTCACATCTCAAGTCATTTCCTGACCTGTGGAGGACAGCCCCTTGACATTACCTGGTTTTGGGCTTCACTTTAGTTGGCAGGCTCTTCCCTCTGGGCTTGGAGAGGAAGGAATTGGCTTCAGATAAAGGGCCAGGTAAATATAGGGGTGGATAAAGAGATCCCTTGCGGGCACTTTAATGGAAAACCCCAGTATGTCAACGTAATGCCACTCAGCTATTATTGGAGTCCAACTCCATAATCTAGGGCAACTATCTAGGGCAAATGGGAGACAGGAGTTCAATAACTAGAAGGTACAACATGGTCTAGGTTAGCAGTGGCTCTTCAGGGTTTTAGGTGAGGGATGTCTTTCCCATCCCTACCTGGAAATATCAGAGATGGAACCTGGGCCCTTCTGCTCCATCTAATCTGAATTAATTTTCAGGTGGGCTCTGGCTGCACAATAGGTTCTGATTGTGTTATTTGGATCTACATTACACTCAGTAAAACCATACGGTATTTTCTGAGCAGTTCCTTGAAATCTGTATCAAGTGAATTCCAGTAGTTCTTGTGGGTGGGGGAAACTCTAATGGTATTCTTGGTATAACTTAAAATGAAAACCCTATCTTAATTAGTAACATGCTGTAAGAATGCTTTAGAAAACCTTAAAGGCTTAACCTGAAGAAGCCTTTGGACTTCTACATTTTTAATAATAATAAAAAATCATTCTCTTGTATTACACATGAACTTGCATGAATTTGTCAAAAATAACAAAAGGAAATAATCATATTGTGAAAGAATGGGCAGAACTTTCTTCAGTCAAACAATTGATTATTCAGTTCCTAAATTCAGCATTTAAATTGGGGATGGGTTGGCTGGGGGAACTGAACTAGAGAAAAATATATATGCATATTTATTGGCTTGCTCCCCATATTGAGCTTAAGAAAAAGAATAAAATTAATTCGGGGAGGGGGTGATAAAAAGCTAGCACAGATAGCAGGAAAGCTTCAAAACCTCAGCCATTTAGACACAATTGTGATATGGCTTGAGAAGCCTAGTACGAACGACCTTGTTTCATGAGTGAAACTTGGGCTTGGCTTTCTCCCTCCTCCTTCACTTGTATGCTCAGATTTTATTAGTTAATGTTCTGTTTAGTGCAAACAACACCACACTATGGTTTCCATACAAGCCCATGGGTGGTCTTCATCTATGTTCTTCTTTGAGTAGACCCACTGGAATTAATGACTGGTTGCCAATATGCTCGTCCAGCTCAATGTTGATTGAAATGCAGAATTCTGAATTCAGGTAGTCAATGTAAGTAAGTAAGTAATTTTTTATTTATACCCCGCCCTCCCAGGCCAAGACCAGGCTCAGGGCAGCTAACATCAAATATCAAATACATTAAAACGCAATCAAACAACTGATTAAAATACATCTTAAAAATTAGAATCAGGATAAAATTAAATGACTGCCCACAAATTACAACCACAGGGGTCAGGAACCTCAAGCATTGATCAGGGCCAGCTATCCATGTTGGTCCCACATGAGCCGATAAAAGGGCCAAAGAGGTAACCCATAGAGGGGGGTCAATGGCAAGATGGAGAGAAGTTGAAGAAATAATCAACCAGCATATGAGTTTGCCATCTTCTGTGCTTGAAGGACACTCCTATCTGTTCAGTGGTGACTTGCTTCCCATATTACTGCAATACGGTTACAAGAGAAGCTGGAAAAGTTCTGTGCTCTACTGTCTAAATTGGACAGGCACAAGACTTCTCTTTGGGCTAGACCTATATATGTAAGTTGGGGGCTTAGCTTTGGGGGTAGGAAGACCATTTTCCTAGCATCTATGA